ATTATATTCAAATCAAGAAATTTTCCGTGTTGGTTACAATTATAATAGATTTGTAGATATGTGTAAAAAATTTTTTTTCAAAACTTTCATATTGATTGCAAATATATTTATACTGTAAATTACACCAGTATAATGTACGTACATTTCGTAACACGATGCATTCGACATTGATTTATGAATTAAGATAATGTAATAGAAATGTGAATGATGACGTACATTCCTTTATCAATGTCTTCAAACCAAACCTTGATCCTTCATAAAATTATCAGGATTTTGCAAACATGAGCTTAACCTACTTTTCATACTTAATTTTATTCCAGATTTCAAGTGGATCTGAAGTTTTATCACTTAGACACTCGTCATCAGTGATCAGAATCTGCTTACGAACTTTAGTTTAAAGTGTTACCAATCTCTCACCTAACCTTCTAAATATAAGTTGTTAGTGTAGCGTTGTAATTGTTTTATTCATGTTACATTTGTAGTTTTTCAAGTCTGGTACGACGCAGAGGCAGGTCTGAAGTGGTTAATGTTCTGTCTTGACGATTGGAATCTCTGTGATTACGTCACCATTTGTGGGAAAACGAAATGCTATATTTTGCTGTGTTGAACTCCAAAGTTTTCTCACTGACAGTTAAATGTGTAAAAAAAAATGGTTTTGTAGCGGAAGACTGCTAATATTTTATACCTAAAAGTGATCGTTGGAGAGAAATATTTCATAACGCGAAATTCTTGTGCAATTATCATTTTGTACAGTTCGATGTCTGCCAGGTTTAATAGTCGGTAATTGGACCGAAAATATTTTAAAATCTAATGTATACGAGGTGCGATCGGAAAGTTTCCAGACTGCGCCTATAAAAACCCGTACACTTATCTCAGGTATTAAATTCATCCATCACCCTCGAAGTAGTTCCCCTGGGAGTGAACACAACGATCCCAGCGCCGCTGCCAAGCCTGGAAGCATCCCTGGAAATCTTTCTTTGTCAGCCTGTCAAGCACCATCTGCGATTCTGCCTGAATCTCTTCTATCGTCTCAAATCTCCTTCCCTTTAGCTGAATTTTCATCTTTGGGAAGAGGAAGAAGTCACACGGAGCTAAGGAGGTTGCGGGATGACGGCCATGGTGTTTGAGGCCAAAAACTGCCGAACTTTGAGGGCGGTGTGCGCTGGCGCGTTGTCTTGATGCGTCGCATGTGGAGTTCTTCCTTTAGAATCAGCTGACAGGTCCCAACAATGTCGCACAAGTCGTTGATGGTACGACGTCGATCTTCGTGAATGGCCTGCCGACTCTTCGTAACATTTTCGGGCGTTGTGCTCGAAGATGGTCGTCCAGAATGCTCGTCATCATCGACAGGGGTTCGGCCATTTTTAAAACGTGAATGCCACACAAACGTTTGTGCACGACCCATTGCGGACTCCCCAAATGCTTGCTTTAGCATTTCATAGGTTTCCGTAGCCGTTTTGGCGAGTCTTTGGCAAAATTTGATGCACACGCCATTCCGAAATCGCAGGAGGGTCGGTGTAATGCACTACCGAAACGCCCGTAACTAAGAAACAAATGCTAATTCGATGATGCCGGCTGGCACACTGATTCACTATGAATGTAGGCCGCACCCCCTAGCGTCAGAAGCTCGTACTACATCCGGTTCGCCCTCTATTGACACAGTCTTGAAACTTTCCGATCGCACCTCGTATTTCACATATAATTAATTTCTGTAAGAATCTAAATCCTTTAAAGTGGAGTGGTAATTATCTGTACGGTTTCCTTTAAGACTCGGTAACACTGTATTTCGTATTTAAAATAAGATCAGAAAAACTTACATTCAGAGCGACTGCGTAAAAAATATGTGTTATATCAAGTTGTCATAGGTTATAATAAAATTGCCTCTGTTATTTTATTTGAATTGCCGGATACGATCGAATTTACAAGGTCCAATGTATGGTTGATTTTATTATTTAGGAATTTTCTTAATGTCCGTCATCTTATATCCCCATTCATTTGTTTCATGGCTGGGAAGTTCCAGAATTCGTCCCCTGAGGACACTACGGTCTTTAGACCGCATGTAATTGCCTGTCCCATTGCTGCAGTTAACAGCATCAGCTGTAGACCTTCAGCGCGCTGCGTTAATTTCAGTAACTACTGCTAGTTAAAAAATGAATTTCTGAAGACGACTCCATGTAAAATTCTTCTTTTGTTTTTGTTTTTTAAAGTATTTAACGAGTTTTCTGTTTTGTGGTTAATGCGTTGAATGAAAAGGTGAATATTAATAATTAAAAGGTAAGGAACTTATATTAAGGTATTATTCAGCATTTGCATACATATACGAAGGAAAATTATTATGATCTCAGTAAATATGGCCTCAAGATATGGAATCGAAATTAGGGTCCCAGAATATGACTTAGTTGTGCTAACTGTTAGAACAAGACTTTCGATGACACTGATTCTTAAAAAACTTTAGACTGTAAATTGCAGGTTTGAATATTTCTCAAGATGTTTGCTATTTAATTACAAATAGTATATAAATAAAGGTGATTATTGTGTTTTAAATTGACTGTGTAGACGAATTGCATACATTGTATCTGTGAGAATTTCACATCAGTTTTATGCTAAGAATATAGAAAGTTAGGAAAGTTACTGTAATGAGTTTGTGAAGTACAGCATAATTAAACTTTCTTGATTACTTCTGATATTAAATTTTGTGAGTTTAAGGTTATTACTGATAAGATTGGCTTTGTTCGTATTCCCTTGAAAGATGAACACAGTTTCATCATAATTGTGCACTTGAATCCCTGCTTTTAAATTGCTAACTAATCAGGACATGTAACTAGTCAGCAGACTATATTTATTACTTTCAGAAACATTTCTTTTCGCGTAAAATAAACTTCGCGAAAGACGCACGTATCTCGAAATTTGAATATTTAAATATATGTATTTTAGATAATTTTTGATGTTTCTGCAATTTTTAAAACTTTTGAAAATGATTTTAAATTTAAAAAAAAAAGAATAATGATTTTTTTTAAATATGAAAATGATTTTAAATTTAAAAAAAAATTGAATGATTTTTTTAAATATTTTTTTTTAGATGTTCTATAAATTCCTGTTAATTTAAGAGCCACCTATACCCAATTTTTCGTTCTCTAGTGGGGCCCCAGTTCCGGTCTGGAACCAGTGGTTCTGCTACATTTCTGCATTTCAACAGTACGTTATTTTCCTGTTTGCCCTCCTGCTTTGTATTCTGAAGGTTTATGTTTAAATCTCGTCTGGGTATTCTGACAGGTTTTCTAGTGGTTTTCCTCAGTTAATCCAGGGAAATATCTGCCTAAAATTGTGTAATTTTCATTTTATCGTAATGACGCTTCTAGATACTTAGATGGGGCAAGTTGACGGCATGCGAGTGAGATCTTGGCACCTGAACAGGAACTTGTTTTACAAAAGCTTTGAATATATATCGCAAGACGTCAGCAGTTGTCAAGCCATTCAGAACCCTGCAGAAACATTTAAGATGGCGGTATGGCTTGATTCATAACCTCATTCAAATAGGTTATCTGTGACTGCGGTATGGACAGCATAGAAAAGTAAATACATAAACAAGTCTTTGGGTGTACTGGACGCAATAAATTTGGGCAGGCAATATTGTGACAAAGTTCTAAGACTGATATAGAAAGCTTTGGATATTCATTTCCGCCATATTGAAATTCCATGCGTCCTTTCTATACTACTTTAATGTGATTGAAATTCCATGCGTCCTTTCTATACTTTTTTAATGTGTAGTAAATATATAGACTTTCTTGAAATGTTTATTATGCATCGTTCTTTTTAGTTTCTTGCAAACGAACGTTTGTGACCTAATTGGCTGCTGAAATGTCTGTATGGTCCTGGTTGTGAAATTTAAAAATAAATGTATGGGGCACAGAAATAGGAGGATGGGACTCATTCTGTTAAATCTGATAAAATAATTATATTTTAAGGTTTGTGATGAATGACAAACTTCTTGGACATTATCCACAATCCTGATTTAATTAAAATTGAGAAGAAAATTTAAGGGAAATGTGGAAGTGGTAAATGCGATGGAACAAATTAGATTCATACCAGAGGCCTTCATGTTGAAAATTCTAACCCTTGAATTGAAGTCCAGCAATTTGTCCTGACTCAACAGTATCTAGTAAAAGCTAGCGGTCATGATTTGAACTGGGTACTTCCTGAATATATGTCCAGATTTTATCATTATACTAAACTGCTCAGTAAGGAAACAGATGAAAATATTACAGATGGCAGTCATGAATATGGATCTGACATATAACAGCAATGAAGACATGCTCTGGTGGCAAAAAGCATAACTATTGCAAAAACGTAAATAAAACAGAAATATTCGTATAAATAACCATTTTTCTTTTACATTCAGAACAAGTATACAAGTCTATACAATTGACATATTGCAATTGTTATAAACAAAAGTCTCATACAAATATTTTGATATGTACATACAAATTTATCAGTATGATAAGATAGTGTTTTACTTCTACATTTCTGAAAGCATTTTTCTACTAGTCAAATTGGTCAGTACATCCTTGACTACAAACTAATTACCTTTTAATTCTTTCTACAAATTCCGATAATCACCCAGTATAAAACAAATCAGTTATTTTTCACATATTTGTGTCCTTATAAACATATGATTTCTGGTTCGTGCGCCAGAACAAAAGACAGGCACCGATATCTTCACTCGTGTTCTACCGACTTTTATCTCGGATATTCATAACTCCCGGTACATATTACATGTTCGGTTGGCCGAACAATTTGAAAATGGTGCCACAGAAAAATTCTGGCCCTTGCTTCAAATTTGACTGCAGTCATCCAACCCACAGGCAACTATTTTCTTATTGGCTGAATTATCCAAACTCAAAATATAACAGAATAAAATTAACAATACATGCGATCAGTTAGGGCCACCACATTCACTTTGGTATTGCAGATAAAGCTGTATCGTATCGTAGTCATTCTCGAAGTCATTTAAATTAACCTGCATCGGAACTTCAGTACGGAAAATCACATTATAATAATTTATATAATTCTATAACTATTAGGCTTAATGTTGAATTTCCATTGGCTATATGAAATAACTTTAAAAAAACTACATATCAGAAGCTCCTTTTTAATATTGTATCATTTGGCATCCCTACTCAGTGCAATATTGCATTTCTAGAAAATGCACAAGCAATAGTGCCTTGTATATATTATTGTATTTTTATTTATGTAATTACAATATAACATTTCTGCAGCGATTACTTATAACCTAATATTCGTTGGCTAAGAATTTGGTCCAGTGAATGTCCTCCTGTGAATTAAGAGCATTACACATTTATTCATCATGACTTTGCGTTCAGCTGAGCTGTAAGGGCAGCACTTTCTTGTTTCATCTGTCGTAGATCCGCGGAGATCCTGTTCAGGTTAGCTCCCACATTCTTAGCGCTTTCAGTCTCGATCTGAAATTAAATTTTCGAATAACATAGAATTTACAAAATTAAGAGATTAATTAACCGTTATCATCCATACGTTGCGTTGACATACTGCTAAATCGTCAACCCTGCAGCGATCCTGATATGGCTGCGTTACCTGTTCCTCTAAATCCCGAATTTCTCTGACTATAGCCCCAGTTTCCTCCACCATTTGAACCAGCTCACTGCAATCTGAATGTAAGGTTGCTAGAAGTTTGTAAGCTTTTCTGGCTGTTTCATCCCGTTTCGCATCCTGAAACCACGTAAGACGTACATATAACATCCGTTGCTTCTGAAACAAAATCTGTCAGTATAACAGATACGTGTTGGTTCGTCGGTGATCATTTCTTAAAATTGCTATTCAGCTGCAGGCAATGTAGAAACATAAGTGTATCGGTTCAACGTATGACTTATTAATCTCGTAAGTAACAAAAGTAACGAGTGAATTGCTATCTAATGTTTATACTTTTGACAACTTTCACCAGAATACAAGAACACGTTTTAAATACGTATTCTTTCTTCTCTAATGATTTGATTGTATATCGACAACTGACTGTTAACAGAACGTCAGATTCGGAGGGTCTCGACTTTGTATTACATACTGATCAAATAATAAAAATGGGTTTCCAAGTATTAGTTTAGATTTTCCCTGCCAATTTTTGGTGGTTAATTTTCTATACAATTTATATGACACGCCTGTAATTTTATCACATCACAGCCGGCTCGTACAAAAATCAAATCCACGAAATTATTATTATTAAACGTAAGCATACGTATTCAAAATAGTTAGGAATATACATTTTACCCGAAATATTAGTTCATCAGCAACAGTAAAAGATCTCTCAAGTTGTCCAGTTAAATTGTTAATCATCTTCTGCAATTTTTTTGTGTCTTTCAGAACTTTATCAATTTCTTCCTTCTGTTTACAAATATTGCCGATTATCTCCATGATCCGACGAGTGTAGGCCGATCTGGAAACAAGCATATTTTTAACCGGATTCGAAGAAATCAAGTTACATCATAATAACTTCAAATTCTATACATTTTAATATCTAATGACATACTACAACATAAATTATCCTCCTGTCAGCTCGTCTGCAAGACGTCATTTCCGACAATATTCCTCGTGACTATTTCTTCACTGAAACGTTACCAGTTTCCTTTTCATCTGTTATTTGACTTTACAAATCTACAACATCTTGTATTTACTACCTGTTGATGTCCTTGGTGACTTTCTCATACTCAATCACGAGCTGTGAATGAAGTTGCTCCTTATGACGAACCTCCTCTCCTAATTCTCGACTTTTCTCCCGTAACTTCCGCGATGCGTCTACCTTCTTCTGGCTTTCTGTCTGTACGACACATTAATCACAAGTCAACAAACACAAACAAAAACACTTAACTACGTGTACTACTTAAGACGGACAGCGCATTAGTACATTACACCGACGGATAAATGCCAGCGTAGCTCAGTCAGTACAGCGACTGGCTATAGACTGGACGACCGGGGTTCGATCCCCAACTGGGGCAGAGGATTTTTACTCTAACCTCCGCATCCGGTACTGCGGCCCACGCAGCCTACTATCCGATGGATACCGGGGTCCTTTCCTGGGGGTAAAGCACAGAGAGGGCGTGACGCTGACTGCTCACCTCCCATCTAGTGGTGACGTCAAGAATGAGTACTAGCAAGTGTACTATTACATGCAGAGAAAGGACTCGGCTTCGTAGAGTTAGTTTAATTACTAATTAAATTTGTATGTACATTCAGAGTGATAAGTCACAGGAACAAGATACAGTACAAAGAACTGTTAACAATTTAGTAGTTAGTACCGTCAGAAGGACGATGATAAAACTTACTGCTATGCTGGAGTTACGTTCCCTCGCGTCCCGATATTGTGTCAAGAGCGGTACTCTATGTTTCTCCCACTGCAAGGCAAGAGTTACCAAGTTTTGTGCACTACTATCTACCGAAGTCTGCAGCGCACTTAAGTTGGTATCTGCCTCCGGCAACAAACCGTATGTACGTTTTTTTACAATTTGTTGTTCTTCTTTGTTTTTTAACATTTGTTCTTCATGTGATTTCTCCTCTGTAATCTAGAAAGAGAAAAAAATATATATAATTTTTCATCAGATTAATAATTATGAAAGTTTTCATTACATTTTCACATTTAAGACTTATACCATGCACCTCAAAAAGTATATCGATGAATCTTTTTTCAAATACGGTGTCTGGAAAACTTGTAGGCATAAACAAATTGCAACTGAACCTTACTGAATTACCTAGAATATAGATTTAAAATATAATTTCATATTCAATACCAGATTAAAAATCTGTACTCCTCCCCCAATATTGTCCGGGTGATTAAGTCGAGAAGAATCAGATGGGCGGGGCACGTAGCGCGCATGGATGGGGGCAAGAGGTGTGCACCGGGTATTGGTTGGTAAACCTGAGGGGAAGAGACCACTGGGGAGACCTAGATGTAGATGGGAAGATAATCTCAGGCGGGATCTATGGGAGATAGGAGTTGAA